TTGTAACTAGTCGTGTTGTGATAAGAAGTTGAATATATAATTGGGCATGCTGCTGTTTTGATTAAATTTATCGATGTTTTATGTGGGATCTTTCATTTGTGCTTGCTTTACATTTATTATTAATTTTTCATGATTGACTGTAGTGTATGTTAGTTGTGAATAAATCAGTTTTTGACTGTAATGACTTCCTAAAGAAATCCACATTTCATACACTAACTTCTCAATGGTAGTTTTTTTACAACCTTTTTAAATTGACCAAAAAAATTTGATCCAGGCAATTGTTTGTTAACCCTTCCACTGCAGGAGACAACCAGGGGTGTTGTCACTAATTACTCATAAGTTGCACGACATGGTCAGGGAGGTTTTAAAGTACTGCATAAAATTAAAATCGATCAATTAGCCAGATGTCTGCTGTGGCTAAATTATTTAAGTCAATATTTGCAGGTGCCATTTGTGTTCATTTGGAAAAAATTAATGAAAGGTTTCATAGCATTGCTTTACTAAAAAAAAAAAAATAGTATGGGCCTAATTTTGGGGTCTTTATTGAATGTAGAATGTCTGCTGCTTGGGTTGTTGTTGCACTATGGAGCACTCGTGTTACAAGTGCCTTCCACGGCAGTTTCCTGGAGTTATTGGTGGGTGGAGATACAAGTTTGCTGGGAGGTTGTGGGAGGCATGAATGATTGCTAAAAGTGACTGTTGGTAACCTGGGAGTGGCAGGGGCGTAGTTGCTTATGAGTGGCTGGGGAGAGGCTGCCTGGGAGTGGCTGGAGAGTAGTAGCTGCCTGGGAGTGGCTGGAGAGTAGTAGCTACCTGGGAGTGGCTGGAGAGTAGTAGCTACCTGGGAGTGGCTGGGGAGAGAGTAGCTGCCTGGGAGTGGCTGGGGAGAGAGTAGCTGCCTGGGAGTGGCTGGGGAGAGAGTAGCTGCCTGGGAGTGGCTGGGGAGAGAGTAGCTGCCTGGGAGTGGCTGGAGAGAGAGTAGCTGCCTAGGAGTGGCTGGAGAGAGAGTAGCGTCCTGGGAGTGGCTGGAGAGAGAGTAGCTGCCTGGGAGTGGCTGGAGAGAGAGTAGCTGCCTGGGAGTGGCTGGAGAGAGTAGCTGCCTGGGAGTGGCTGGAGAGAGAGTAGCTGCCTGGGAGTGGCTGGAGAGAGAGTAGCTGCCTGGGAGTGGCTGGAGAGAGAGTAGCTGCCTGGGAGTGGCTGGAGAGAGAGTAGCTGCCTGGGAGTGGCTGGAGAGAGAGTAGCTGCCTGGGAGTGGCTGGAGAGAGAGTAGCTGCCTGGGAGTGGCTGGAGAGAGAGTAGCTGCCTGGGAGTGGCTGGAGAGAGAGTAGCTGCCTGGGAGTGGCTGGAGAGAGAGTAGCTGCCTGGGAGTGGCTGGAGAGAGAGTAGCTGCCTGGGAGTGGCTGGAGAGAGAGTAGCTGCCTGGGAGTGGCTGGAGAGAGAGTAGCTGCCTGGGAGTGGCTGGAGAGAGAGAGTAGCTGCCTGGGAGTGGCTGGAGAGAGAGTAGCTGCCTGGGAGTGGCTGGGGAGAGAGTAGCTGCCTGGGAGTGGCTGGGGAGAGAGTAGCTGCCTGGGAGTGGCTGGAGAGAGAGTAGCTGCCTGGGAGTGGCTGGAGAGAGAGTAGCTGCCTGGGAGTGGCTGGAGAGAGAGTAGCTGCCTGGGAGTGGCTGGAGAGAGAGTAGCTGCCTGGGAGTGGCTGGGGAGAGTAGTAGCTGCCTGGGAGTGGCCGGAGAGAGAGTAGCTGCCTGGGAGTGGCCGGGGAGAGAGTAGCTGCCTGGGAGTGGCCGGAGAGAGAGTAGCTGCCTGGGAGTGGCCGGAGAGAGTAGCTGCCTGGGAGTGGCTGGAGAGAGAGTAGCTGCCTGGGAGTGCCAGCTAATCATCTTTTATTACTATAATGTAACCATTTTCTTTTTGTATTGCATCATAATGGTATGAACTTGGGAGATTTATGTGCTGATTTTTTTCCTTTAGATTGATCCCAAGGCCTGCAACCCGCGCAGCATGCAGAAGCAGAAAAGGAATGGGAACTGGCCTAAGGTATTCCTTGGAGGGTTGCCGTCTAACCTAACGGAAACAGACCTTCGCAATTTTTTTTCACGTTTTGGTGGGGTGATGGAAGTGGTTATCATGTTTGACCAGGAAAAGAAAAAATCGCGAGGTGAGTAATATTTTTTTTACTCGTCTTTCAAGTGAAAAGAGGGTGTAAATAGTCAAAATTATGATACACATTGATTTCAATATCCTGTACTTTTAAAATATTTTACAATAAACTCCCCCCTGACTGTTTTTATAATACGTAGCTGTACAATGCTAGATGTGGAATGTGCTGTATAGATAACTATAATCGAAACTGCTAAGTATATTTCAGTCACGTTAAAATTTTCAAGAATCCTCCATAAGTTTATTTTATAGGTTTGATGTATTTTAATTTGTAGGTTTACATATAATTTTAAAATAAATTTAAACTTTCCCAACTCTAGTATAGTGGTAACAGGAAGGATTCTTTTATAATGGGCTATGTTGTCTTTTCATGGCAAATTATAACACCAATTTAAACTTTAATCAATTGATGCATAGGGCCTAAAGAAAATTCTCAAACTGAGATGTGAGAATACAAAAAATAAATTTACATGCTCAGAGAATACATGAGAATGAGTTCAGTAATTTGTTTGAATAGGATCTCGGGAAGTGTAATGCTAGATATTTTTGTTAACATTGCGTAGGCTTAATGAATTTTGTTTAACCCTAAATGGCACAAATCGTATATACTGTATATGGTTTTGACCTAACTGCCTGCACAGCGCATATCATATATACTGTATGTTTTAAAGTACCGTGTTAGATTTCAAAGTCCCATAGCTACACGGGTTCACATCAGCTTCCTCAGCTCCAGTAAACAGATGCCATTTAAAAAAAAAATCGTATGTACTATTTCCGGGTGTGAAGGCCTCGGTATTGAGTGAGCAACTTAGGCTGATGCATGCATCATGAGCTAACAGCTTGACCACAGCATTGCTTAAAAATATCAAAATATATATATTACCACTTATTTATTGATGTTAATAGTATTACAGAAGAGCCTGACTGTGGTAAAGATTAGTGTGTTTAGATATCAATGAACTCAATGGTGTTCAAGATGTTCACAGCACTAGGCAGATAGCCACAGCACTGTTTGCCATTGTTTGGTCCATCAAAGAATCCTGACACAAGCCTGGCCTCGGGCCGGGCTTGGGGAGTAGAACAACTCCCAGAACCCCATCAAGCAGGTATCAAGCAGTACCGAGGCTCTCACACCCGGGAATAGTACCTAAATTTTTTGTATTATTTTTTATATTTTTATTTTTTTAAATGGCATTTGTTTACTGAATCCAAGGAAGCTGATGTGTTCCCCATGTAGCCATGGGATTTTTAAATCCTAAAATTTAAATGTTATGCGGTACATAAGTAACATATAGTGTTTATAAGATACGTGCTGTGCAGGTAGTTAGAGCAAATCATATATGTACAATTATAGTCGTTAAAGGTACTCTATTTTGTGCTTACAGTACTGTAAATGTCAGAAGTTTCCTATCTTTGTTCTTTCCAAAAGTAATTTCAATTGCTAAAGATATTAATTAGCAATTTGGACAATTTGCTTGACAGTGGTTGGAGTTTTTTGTAATTTATTCTTTAATATAATAATGTAGTTTTCTTAGCGAGAATTCATCATGACACACACCTGCCTGAAATATGAATTACTAGTTATAAATATGTAATAAAATAATATGCGTGTCATACCTAATAGCCAAAACTGCAGTATTTGGTTTAGTATGCAAGGCCTAATTTGTCTCGGTGTCATTTTTATTTTTCAAATATTTCTTTCCATTTTGGATTATTCCAATTAATATTCTATTAAGATTGTGAATTACTGACTTAGTTGTGTTAGGTTTGGTTAAGATTAAGTCTGGTTTGATCATGTTTTTAATATAATAGAATACACCAATTTGTGAATAAAATAAAATAAAAATTGCGATGCTGGTTACACATAACGAGTCTTGCATACTAGGCCAAGTAGTGCAGTTCTGGCTGTTAGGCATGACTTGCATATTTTATTATATATATATATATATATATATATATATATATATATATATATATATATATATATATATATATATATATATATATATATATATATATATATATATATATATATATATATATATATATATATATATATATATAATATAATATCCACATATACAAACAAAAACAAATATATGCATATATACACATATATTATTATAATTATATAGTGATATAATATATTAAAACCCGTTTCAAACATACGAATTTAGTTCTCCCAGTTAAAAGAAGTAGAGTGTTAAGTATTGGTTCAAGCTATAGTGCTTTTTAAGGGTCAATTAGTGCATGATTGTATTTAATGCTGAAGCTTGATGATTACATTAAAAGTTTTAAATGTTTATGGCAGTTAGGAATCATGACCTGTTAATAAGTGGTGGGGGTGCTAGTATTTCTAGTACAGCTCTGTGGAATCATTATACTGTATGTAATAATGAATTAAGTATATTTATACATAATATATATATATATATATATATATATATATATATATATATATATATATATATATATATATATATATATATATATATATATATATATTATACATAATATATATATAATATTATTTAAAATTAATAAGGTTCTATATAGTATTTAATGACTGCTGCATGATGATATATATATATATATTTTGGTAGTGTTTAAGAGCTGTAATAATAAGGTTGTGTTAAGGCATCCCTAATTAAGTCTCAATGTGGCTCATAAGGACACAATATAAATATATGTAACCATAATTTGATGACCTTTTCATTGTTGAATGTACTATGTGAGGGGGTTCTTCCTTTAAGCTTGGCAGCAGATCCATAAGGCAGGTAAAAGACTGGCCATTAAGTTTATCAGAGGGGTCCTATAACTTTGAGAAATATCTCGACCTTTTGTTCAAAATGCCGGTTTCAAAAACTCGTTAAATTATTAGAGCAAAAATTGAACCAGTATTGCATCATGGAGTTTGTGCCATCTGTTGGAAGTTATACATCAGTGCTTTGATTTTCCAGGGCAAGAATATTAAAAAAAAAATGAAAACTTTGTCAAGTATTTCTCAGATTTGTGTTATTGATGCTTCTGTTAATAACATCTTCCTTAGAGAGGTGTGGCGGCTACTAGAGAAATGTCTCTGGCTTGCCTTACCCAAGAGTTTTATTTTTATCCATTCTCTTGTGTTCTCATGGCTTTCCTATATGAATTATTGTGCACTTTCTAAAATACTGGTCACCCTCTCTCTTATCTATAACCTATAAATTCCTGCTTCTGTATTATGGTAAACTTTTCTTTGTATTCAAACTATCATAAACTTTTTCCTGGGTCCTCAGTAATGCACTGATTCCCAAACCTACAGTAATACACTACAATTCTCAAACCCACAAAATACATTACAGTTCTCAAACCCACAGTAATACACTACAATTTTCAAACCCACAATAATACATTACAGTTCTCAAACCCACAGTAGTACACTACAATTTTCAAACCCACAATAATACATTACAGTTCTCAAACCCACAGCAATACACTACAATTCTCAAACCCACTGCAATACACTACAATTCTCAAACCCACAATAATACACTACAATTCTCAAACCCACAATAATACATTACAATTCTCAAACCCACAATAATACATTACAATTCTCAAACCCACAGTAATACACTACAATTCTCAAACCCACAGCAATACACACAAATGCTCAAAACCACAGTAATACACTACATTTTCCCCAGCCCACTGATAGGTTCCAAATATTCTACAAGTCACGCCACAGATGTCTCAGTCTTCAGGTTTTCCCAAGCTCAGAGTAAGACCCATTATTTACCCAAGCCCACAATAAACCCCACATCTACTCATTCACTTAGTAAGTTTTTTTTTTATTATTATTATATATAACCAAGGAAACAAGAAGGGTCCCATATTTCAATCTGATAATTGTTTGCTAGTCCGCATTTTTCCCCACTCTTTTTGCTTTAGAAGCAGATGCATTCGGTAAATGTTATACAGTAGTTCATTTCGGCAACCAGGATTCTAAATTTTGCTTTTCTATTTCATGCCCAAGTCTTATTTCCATAGGTCAGAGTTAGGAAGACATTGCAAAGTTTTTTAAATTTCCTGTCGTGATCATCTTCAATTGTCTCGGCTTCTCTCCTTGCACAGTTCTGTCTTTTTCTCTCTTTTTTTCCAGTGCCCTTAAATAATAATAATAATAATAATAATAATAATCAGGGACTTGTCATAATCTGCATTTCATCAAGAGTTTGTTTATTCTATAAGTTGCAGCAGAATCATCACTGAATTTGCCTCTAAAATTAAGCATCCATAACCCATTTTGTTCTAAGAAAATAGTCCTGGAAAATGAAGATTGCATTTCACCAAGTCCTGGATAGCACAGTATTGGTGTACAAGCTGTGGACCATCTGTTGTGTACTTGTCCCTACTCCTCAGAGGCCTCACACTGATTATACAAATATATTGTAGTTTCATTAGTCAAGATTCATTATTTATTTATCTGTATGCATTCACAGTTCAGTATATGCAGTGGACTCTTGATACTACACTATTTGTTTCGATATTATAAGAACATTTATATATTGCAGTATTGTGTAGTGGCGGTATTAATATTAATATAATGGCACTCAAACTTCGTTGAAGTGCAGTACTGTACTTTTAATGTCGAAACTCCAAAGCTTTTATGAAAGTTAATGTGCAGTTCAAATACTGTACCGAGATTTATTTGGTTAATAAAACAACAGCAGTTTAGTGCACTGTTCATATTAACCTAGGGTGGAGCAAGTATCTTGTTTGGTCCATATTGCCACCAGCCAGCTTGCACCGCAACAGCCAGTACAAGCAGGCTATTGCGGTAAAAAATCGATAGACAATCGACCCATTCACAAATGAGATGGCACTTGTGCATACACACACACACACTCATACTTTAAGTAGGGGGTATCTTTTAATATTGTTGTAATATTCATGCACAGTACTTTATGGATAGCATCAGTTGCTACGTCCTACTGATTATTAGATTACTCCCTATAGTTTAGGTGATATCTTTACTCCAACAGCGTGACCTTTAACTTGATTGTACTGTAGTTGAAGTATTAAAACAAGTTAAGAGATCTCTCTTAAATTCTTGTGAATGCTCATGGTTCTTGACATAATGTATATATAGAATACAATGTTATTCCTTTTGTTATTTTAAAGAATTTTGTATATATATCATCTTAATATGCACTGTTGTGTGTGCTGTAATTTGCTTAAAAACTCAGAAATTTGATGATAGGCCCCCCCCCCCCCCCAAAAAAAAAAATCCACAGGTCTACGATTTTTGCAAGATTAGAATGTCCAGAATAAAATTTAGATGTTGAGGGTTGCAAGAGTATATTATAAAAAGTTTGCATAATATGTTTATTTGGCACGGCCTAATACAAAATTCAAAGGACCTTATTATAATTCAGAATTTATAACAAGGGTGGAACCAGTTACTATTGATTTTTAGATGGCATGCTGAAATTTTGTGTGTAGTGAAAATGGTAAATTAAAATTTCTAGATAAAATTATTGGGGTGGCCTAAATTAGTTAAGATCGGGAGTCTACTGTGTATATATATGTGTGTGTGTGTGTTTTTGATCAGTGTTGAATTTTTAGTGTGATATCTCTGAGAGATGAAATAGGTGTCTTGCACCCACCTAGTAGGTAGTTCACAATAGGTAGGTCCAATCTTTCCTCACTAAGCTAAGCTGTCTTTCTGTTTGGTTGTCACGACACTAGGCTTTGGATTTTTGTCCTTCGAAACGGAAGAGGCTGTGGATAGAGCGGTGGCAGAGCACTTTGTCAACATAAATGGAAAGCAGGTATTAGTCTTAAGTATTTTTAGTTTTAATATTCCCCCAGTGACCTTTCTGGACTGAAAAAGATATCTAGTGTAGGTGGTGGTGTTTTTATATATATACATTTTCCTTGTGTGCTTGGATTATGAGCACTTCTATTAAAGTTCTACGATTCAAATTTGAGTTGTTACCAGCAGCACTTTGTTTAATCAGGAAATAATATGGTCAGAAAGGTTGCTAGGTACTTCCAGGGGTATATGCAAAAAATCTTCCAGACATGAATTTGTGAAAGCATCCAATTGGTAGTTTCTATTCAGTTTTCTTTATAATTGCATCAAATATACTCAAGCGCTAAATTATTTGCTTTTGATGTTTCACAAATTATACCAGAAATGGGTTATGTAGAGTCTATATTAATTATGTGCATGTATTAATTTGTTAAATGTTAAAAGCTTAGCACTGGTACATTTAGTAACAGTCGATTGCCATAGATGAATTGTGAGAAGTCTGTTAGTTACCAGGTATATTGTAGAAATAATAAGTCACGGTAAGTTATAACATTAGTATTTAATTTTACAGTCTTAGATTAAAGATGAGGATGAATTGTATATACAAATATATATATATTTTTTCCCCTCCAATTCATGTCTTAAGACAAATCACATAAAAGAGTACAATTCATTCCTCATAAATTTCTTATGAGCCAAAATCTAGGGTACTTACAATGTAGATACTTTACCTGATTAATTTATTTCCAAACCGCTGAAGGTTGAAATTAAGAAGGCAGAGCCAAGGGACGCCAGCAAGGCACAGGAGGAGGGTGGCCAGTGGGGCGCTCACCCCGACAACCAGTGGGGGATGCCAGTGGGTCCACCGGGCATGCCTGGCCTTAATAATGTAAGTGGCGTGTATTTTGTATACATTATGACCTGCTTATTGTGTCTTCTAAGGTGAAATTTCGTGTTATTTAGATCAATAAAATTCACATGATGTTTCCAAACGCTAATGATGAAAATCATGTGTGTTTTCATTTGAGTTTGCTTGATTTTCTGCTTATTTTAATGAAAGAAGATAAAACAAAAGACAAGATGATGAACATTAACCCTTGCACTGCTCACCTATTTTCGGCAAAAACGTCTTGGTGCAATTGTCAAGGACATATTTTTGTTACTTTTACAAATGTTCAGGTAAATTTAATGTCAAAATGTTTCCAAAGTCAACTATTTCCATTTCAAAACACAAATAGTAATGAAAACATTAAAAAACATTAAAATATAGCCAAATTAAAAAACAAAAAGCACAACTCTCTGAGCGCCTAAAGGCGCTTTGCGCAGTGCAGTGGTTAAGAAGACATAAAACAGCTCTACTCTGGCTGAAACGTCAATAAATGCAATAAAGATACGATTTCTCTTTTATCAATAACTCGTGCACGATTATAACGAGGTGCAAATTGTTAAGTGTCACTAATAAAGAGGCCATTTCTGGTTCCAGTGGCCTACTGCCTACCTTATCAGATTCATCTTAACTTTTCAATAATAGCAAAAAAATGTCTACAGTAATATTTATGCAAGTTATTTATAGATATTTTCAAATATATACTTTAATTTCAAAATGGTTGGAAAATGTTTATGAAAATAAATGTACCATTACAGTTTTGATGGTTCTTTAATAATGTTCTGTGTATGAAGTAACACTTTCTTGGTTTTATAGATCGGTGAAAGGATGTCAAGTTTTTATGTTCATTAAATAGGCATGGTGTTAGGAAATTTTAGCAGGCACATACTGGTAAATAGTGTTTTAATGTGTAATTCTATTGTAGGCAGTGTTTTGGGGAACCTCTAAAACTTGAAGTTTTAAATGAATCATGAATGTTTTTTCTACACTTCTAAAGACAGAAGGCTCTGTTTAACCCTTTGGTTGACACAATTTGACTATCATTACCAAGAGTTAAAACACAAACATAATATATTTTGAAAGTTACATGTTTTATTGAATTTATAAAAGGACATGTTTTTTCTAGGTGTATAAAAACTTATTTTGAAAGATTGATACTTGACATTTCTTTCGATGTTAAAACCTACTAAGTCATTGTGATGGTTTATGTGACCTTAGTTGGATGACATGATTAGTAGCTCAGTGATAATCATCATCATAGAACAACTTCTCCTGCAGTTGATTAATAGAAACTATGTTCAGTAGACTGCAGCAGTAATTGCTGATTCGTAACACTCAAAGAAATTCATGGGTACTTTATATACCTCTTCAGTTTTAGTCATTCAGTGCAGGTGTTTTGCATTCCTATCATGTTGAGTTTTAACTTTGCACCATGAGGGGGAATTTAGAAGAAATTATAAATTTTAGGAGAATTTAGAATAATTATAATGTGGCTATAGACACCCAACCCTCCCAACATCTGAATGGAAGAGGAATTTGTTTTGTCCATCCTGGATGAGAATGAGGTGAAAGGTAGCAAGGTGTAGGAGTTACAGGAATAGGTTTGAAGTAGGGGTAGAAATATGACAAGAAAATGGAAGTATTGGAATAAGGGTGAAAAATCCTATGTTCAAGTAGTTTGTTGCTTCACTTTAGTTTGACACAATTTGTGGAATAAAACTGTTTATGTACATACAATTAAAGAACAACTATATACTGTACATATTTAGGCCTACTTTAATATGCACACTTATAAAGTGTAAATCCATTCCTGGCACAACTCGACTTTGGTTCCCTTCTGATGTGCACGAAATCAGAAAAGACTTGGATATTTGTGGGGTTTCCCGATTTATTTATTTTTTATTTTTTTTTTTTCATAAAAATGTATGCATAGGTGATAATTTTGATTGAAACTACTTTGGGGGTTAAAACTTTTTCGTGGCCTGCTGTGCATCTGTATAAGTGTTCATTAGCCCCAAGCAGCTTTTTATATCCTATCCTCAAAATCGTCCTCACTCTGGGTAAACACCGAGTCCATTGTTGCTGGTTTATCAACATCCATGTCTCATCCCTGTGGTGGTAATCTTTTATCATCCCATGAACTTCCCCTGCAATTAAAATCACAAAATAATGTGGGCTTAGCTTTTATTACACTCTTCACCATCAGTCCCTTTTTTTATGACTTATTGCTCTAATGTTCTACTTACGTACTCATATTGCTGTTAGCTGAAGGACTATATAATATCATCGTTGTTGTGTACATGTCTTTTATTTTTACTATATCTGTAATGTAGTCCTGTTAATTGCCCTGCTCACTCCTCTCCTTTTTTTTCTGATAACCTGATAGGCTTGCTACCTACCTTATGGCTACCTTGTGTAGCTTCCGGGGATCAATGGTCCCACTGCCCGGTCCCCGACCAGGGCTCTGGGTGGTCGTCTGGACAACCAGGCTTACAGCCTCTCTGATTTTTGGAAGTTTCTGCAATTGTCAGCAGGTGCATTTCCTGTATCCTTATTGCTACTAGGGTGAATCTCCTTGTAGAGGGTGGTGATGTTCAGTGTCAAGCTTTTTCATTTGGGGAGAATGGGGGATGAGTTTAGTTATCATTGTGTTAGCGGAAGCGCACAGAAATATGGCATGCATTGAAAGTCATTAAACAGGATTTGGGCTTAAGCAGGTAGTTAAAGAGATAGAAAACATTTTGTCTAACAAATCATGTACAGTACTTTGCATCTTGTGCATGCAGGGACTGAGATACTGCTGTTCATATCTAGCTGTTTTTTATGGCTCTATAATCTGGGATTTTGTTACTGGTACTGTTGTATTATTTTCCTATTGTAGGCCTGGATACCAAATAAATAAATTTTAATTTGTTTTTTACTTGTAGGGTATGGGACCTGGCAACATGGGACCACCCCTGGGACCTCCCCTTGGTCCACATAACAGCCAGATGGGGGGGCACATGGGGACTCAAGGCATGGTACAGGGCCCTTACCAGGGATGGGGCACCCCTCCGCAACAACAAGGATATCCGCCTCAGGGGTATGGTGCCCCTCAAGGTCCAGGGGGCTACCAAGGTTGGGGTGCTGGACAACAGCTGCAGCAGTGGGGGGCACCTAACTATGGTTCCCCAGGCGGCCAGCAATACGGCAGTTTCGGTGAGTACTGCTTACGTTTCGTATCTGATAAGTTGCATTCACGTTTAATACACCAAAGAATTTAATGCCAGTTCACTTTGTATTATTGTTGTATCCATTACTCTGTTATTTAATGTTGCTAATGAAAGACCTGTACTCATGGTATTTAGTTGAATTGCATCATTTTATTTTATAGAACATGTCCTTCACTCATTCAGTTAGCTCCATGGAATTTCAATGCTTTAGTAGTAAGTAGCAAATTGCATTACCACAATGGATATTTCTCTATAATTATTTTGCAGTTACCAGTAAATAATAAGTAGTGTATATTTATATTACAATCACCAATGGATATATCAATATGAAAAGTGATAGTGATGTGTTGAGTAGTTAAGTGTTGAGGGGTGTGTTTCAGGGCCCATGGAGGGTGGAACGTGGGGGTGGACGTCCCCCACCTCTCCCTCCACACCTCAGCCACACGAACGTGAGTCGTGCATGGCGGGTGTGTGTGTATGTGCACATTGGTGTTCTTGTCATGGCATATAAGCTGGAGTTTAACGGCTTTTTGAGGAAATCAAACTATAACAGTGTGTTTTAACCATGGTCTTGCAGTGTAAAATATGACAAGCAGTGTTTTTTTCCTACTAAAATGTACTGTCCTGATTATGCAGTAAATTGATTACATTTATTCTGGACACTTACGAGCATGGTCTAGAAACTGCCTCGAAAAGCCCTGGTTGAAGCTCTATACTTGTAGGAGAAGGCAAGAGGTGTGTGGAGCTTTTCAATAGACAACTTTTACTATTTATCACTAATTCTAATTGACAGCCCATTTCTTTTCTCCATCACTTTATGCCTTCTTGTTTTAATATTGCAAAACTTAGAATATTATTGGAAGCTTGCATTTTTCTTGCAAGATTTTTTCCTACTTCCTGCAAATTAATTGTGTAGAATTTTGGTAAATACTAGTTGAGAATATGTAGGGGTAGTTTATTATGAAGACTGCTGTTGAACACTATAGTATAGTAGTGGTGTCAATTTTCAGTGAGAAATAGTAAGTAAGATATTTGGGTAACTTTAATTGTTTAAAAAATGTAAACATATTTTGAGGATGGGAAATAATGTACATGTCAGTGATAACATGTTATGTGTGAGTGGGAAATGATCATTAGCTGTAGTGGCCTAACACGTTTTGTTTTCTGCTTGTGGCTTGCACAGAATGCTATTGTTTTGGGTGTATTTCATCTGTTTAATCATGGTTTAGTTATAAGTTCCATAAGAGTTCACTCATTTTCTTTTTCTTACTCATTATGCTTCAGATTTTGTGTATCTCAATTCTATCGCTCTTCCCTTCCCATCTGTTCCTCTTCCTGTTTAGCTTGTTTTTGCTAACAATTCTCTGGCAGCTGCTATTCTGATTCTCCTTTCTTATGTTTCCCCTTCCTTCCTTCTTTGTCTCCCCTCAGATTGTTGTTCTTAATTTTGCCTATTGCTACTTGTTCAATTTGTTCCTCCTCTGCTTTCTTTTCTTGGTCAATTATCACCCTAATACTCATGCATGACGTTTACCCAAAAATGTGTAAAAGTTGCCAGACAAGGTCTTAGTAAGCCTGTCCATGTCATATTTTCATTAAATATTGTTAATTTATTAAGTTGAATAAATATTTAATTGAAATTTATTGTGATGGTCAGCTTGTGTAATGCAGCAGGCTTTGCATTACAGAATCCATAATTATAGAATATTGCTAAGAACATGAGACTCGCTGGTCTCTTGCTGTAAGCTCACTTGGGATATTTACCATTACTTCTTGTAATTTGATACCCTCTTGGGTAGAGGGGATTTAGTGCTCAAGTGACTGTAGAGCAGTTAATTATAGCATGTAAAGCTTGTGTATGTGAGGGTGGGGGGGGGGGGCAGGCACTAAGACATCAACAAAAGTATAAGGTCTCTGAACATGAGCATCAGGAATAGAATCTGGTGTTTGCATTAAGGGAGGGAAGCACTTGAATTTGAGATGAATCTAAAATTTAATAGAGCCACTTAGAGAGTTCAAAGAAAATCCAACTACAGTAAATCTTGATAAAGAGAAAAAAAATGCGATGAAGGGAAGCAGTAGTTTGCCCAGCATCAGAAAATAATCCACTAGTAGCCAAGTGCTCATGCACTTGGCTATTAGTGGATGATTTTTTTCTGGGTAGTCATGTATTTCCCAAATACATGACTACCCTGTAACAACCAATAATTTTTTTAGGAGCTTAGTAATGTTAATATTCTTTGGGAATTCATTTCTTGCCAGGGATGGGTGGGGGGGGGCATTTCTTTTTGTTCATGTTTAGCAATTGTGCTTATGCTCCCCATCTTGTGTATCCTTAGCTGATTGATTAGTTTGCCCCAATTCTGTTTGAGTTACCCTTGTGTTGTCTATCTTATGATGGTTGTGGAAATTAATATCCCTGTGGCCCGGTTTCTAACTAGGATTCCTGGTTAGTGATCTGGTCAACTAGGCCTCATAGTTGGTGGTCTGGTCAACCAAGTTGCTAGGTGCTCCTATATCAGTTAGATGTATGAACTACAGCTTGGTTGATCAGGCATCTTTTAGTGTTTTGTAAAGTACAGTACTACTATTACCATGATAGTACCATGATTATCATGATAATACCATGACAGTTTGGCTAGTTATGCCCCTTATGTTCAAAGGAAGTGTTGAAAATTCCTTGGCCTCTTGATGTTGATAAAATTCACTTAATGTGCCTATTGTACCTCTGCTTTTCAACAGGGCTATTTTGCACTTCCTGCCGTGCCTCCTGGTACTTCCATGTGTTGATATGGAACTAGACTCTCTAATCTTTTTGTATAAATTATGTATCTCGCCAACACTTTGGCTTCGTGATGACATTCTCGGAGTCATTAAAACAATACACGTAGTGTGGGACATGGCGTCAATGCTGTCAACAATTAAAATATTTGTAAAAGTTCCATTTATTGTAAGATTATTATGGACCCTTTTTTTTTTAAACTGCACACCAGTCTTCCCATTCTCTGTATACCCCATGTGGCATCATGGCACCACAGCGTGGGTGGCCACCCACGCAGGAGGCTCATTGTTTTTGTGACCACACTCGTGACTGACCCTCGAGTCGAAACGTGTGCCCGTTCAGTTGTTTTACCTCTGGTATTTTTTGTTACTGCATTTATAAACACGAAGCAACACAAAAGTGAATGATGTAGGGTAACAAATAATGTCGGGAATAAATAACGACTGTAATCAGTGATGAATAGAAGTTTTTTCGCATGACTGTGTACTTTTATCTTATGGCATTGTTAATGATGTTCTTCTATTTGATATTATATGCATATATCCCTTTAGAGTATTCTATTGCGAACAATTTGATACCAAAATCACCGACTTAGCATAAAAATTGAGGTAAGAAAACTGTAAAGAGTATAAACATTGGAGTGTGGTTGTGCCCTTACAGGCAATGCGTGACCTACCTTGCAGTGCGCTGCGGGTGGCCCTCCAGGCCACGCAAAGTGTTAAGAGAATACAGATTTAGTATGTCCTCCATTTTGGGATTTCTTGTGGGTTGCCCCAGTTTCTGGGTAATGCTCGTCGGGACTTGGTCCTCATTCCAGATGTGTTAATGGTAGCTAAATTCACTAATTATTTAGCAAATAAATTTTGTTTGATTATGCCGTGCTTATAAATGTGCCTTACCTGGTTGATACCTGGTTGATGGGGTTCTGGGAGTTCTTCTACTCCCCAAGCCCGGCCCGAGGCCAGGCTCGACTTGTGAGAGTTTGGTCCACCAGGCTGTTGCTTGGAGCGGCCCGCAGGGCCACGTACCCACCACAGCCCGGCTGATCCAGAACTTCTCTTAGAAAATCGTCCAGTTTTCTCTTGAAGATGTCCACGGTTGTTCCGGCAATATTTCTTATGCTCGCTGGGAGGACGTTGAACAACCGCGGACCCCTGATGTTTATTGTTGTTGATGTTGCCTTATGCTTATATTGGTGTCTGTCTTGGTGATTAATATGTTTTGCCCAATACATAATGTATAGTGACACGATTCACTTTTTCTGTTCCTATAATTTATAAGGGTGGGTGTATAGGAGTCTGCTTCATTTCCCTTCCATTACACTGCTGCCATTTCATTCATGGGTGGTGGATAGGGCACTTGGCTGCATCAGGAGCATCCTTCTAGCCTTCCAGGGTATCGTTCTTGGGTATACCAAGTGCACTCTGCCTCCTGCCCCTTTCATGTGCTTTTCATTGCGGGCTGTTTAAATTAGTTTCGGGGTAATCTCGGATCCCCTCCTGTTGGACAGGACTGCACACTGAGTGATCAAGTAATTCTGAAAGGAATAACTTTACAAAAGAGGTTGAAAGTTTTATTATGTGTATAGTGATGCAAAATAAATGCATGTTGCTATTGGGCCATTTAGTTACCTGGTCGAAATTTTATAGTAGTTTTAAAGATCATTGGGTATTGGTGAATTAGAAATATTTCTACATTAGCAGTATTTCCACATAGGCCATGATGTCAAAAGACTCTTACAGTAATCTCAACTGTAAATGATACCATTTCATGACAAGCAATATATTGGTGCTAGATAATACAATATTCAGATATTTTACGTAGATTTAGAGTAAGTGTTTAAACCAGTCCCTGGACTGCTTGGAAGACTCACCTGCACTCCAGGTGACACTTAACTGTGACTGTCTCTGGGTGTATGAGAGACCACCTGTCCTGTCATAGTATTTGCATAGAAATAACTTCAAGGTTCACTTGTAAACCTACACAATAAAATTCCAGCACATTAGGAAGTGCAAAATAAATGGAATGATTGTTGGGAGGGCTGTTACCACAATTAAAAAGCAATGTGAATATCACATTTACACAAGTCTTTAACATTCTACCCAAAAACATGTGAAATATTCCTGAATCAATTGTGGAAGCCTTCAAAAAGGTACTTAAAAAGTTCCTGCTTGAGTTACTGGAGTGACTTGGTTATGATTTTGAGATATATACAAGAGTTGTTACATTCTTGTAGAGCCACTAGTACGCGTAGCGTTTCGAGCAGGTCCCTGGAATACGACCTCCACCGCGAAGAATCGTTTTTACAACCAAGTACACATTTTACTGTTGAGTTAGAGGCTACAGTTAAGGAATTGCGCCCAGTAAATCCTCCCCGGCCAGGATACGAACCCATGACAAAGCGCTCGCTGAACGCCAGGCGAGTGTCTTACCACTACACCACGGAGGCTGGTAAATGATGAATATATGTATATAGGCCTTCATACTATGGAGACTAAGCTAGGGAAGCCTTTGGAGGGTAGGTGAGGGGGGGGGTGCTGTATGAGTAGAGAAACTCGTTTTGGTCTGAATTTATGGCTGGAATGTAAATAGCATTTGTCAAATCTTGCAGTTTGTTCCAGCATTTATATAAAAAATATAATTAGCAAAGTGAGCAGGAAGCTAGTG